TATGGCGTTCCGTTCCGGTCAAAATTATTTCAAGTCAACAAGTAATAGTCAAACATTATATCAACATGTTATAACTCTCAATATAATGTTGAAAATATCAAGATGAAGTTCAAACTCAAAAGGGTAAAACGAAAGTTTAAAGCATATACTTCAAAACTGCAAAATACATTTCAAACCTCTAAGGATATACATGAAAATTAAACGCAAGTCCAAACTTTTATTTATAATACGAAACTCCCAAATGATAAGTCAAAGCCGCGGCTCATAAAAATAAATCGAAAAGTCAAAAATATAAATCGAAAGGAAACGGAAGTAAGCAACTTAATACAGAGGAAGTCAGGAAACGGAAGTTAACCAAGAAGCCAGCGAATGGTATTCTTTGTTTTAAAGGGGGGTGAACACGCGCTGAGATATTTACGTATGTCGATATTAAAAAGTTAAAGATTTCGAAACTGACGAATTATTTCTCTCTTTATAAACATTGCTGACCTCGTCTTTTACAGTAACAATTACATTATTATATTATATTATATTATGATTCAACCGAATATCTTGCTCGCCGTCTGGATGTTTACGAGATAAATATTCTTGTACTAATCTATAGCCTGATGATCCTGGGTGATACTTGTGAGATACCACGAACAAGTAGATCAAGATCATTGTCCCTTATCGTAGAATGTGATTGAGTGATTCCCTGTTCGTATATAGCGGAGACAAAGTAAAATTAACGTCGACGTCGTCGTATTGCACTCTCAGATACCGAAAATTTCTTGTAATTTCTGCTCAGGAAAGTCCAACTTGGAGAATTAAAGTTTAGATGGCCTGTTGTCAGACGTCCAGTCTTTGTCTTCCCACACCAAAATTCGCATCTTTCGCATGTTTCCCTTTGACGACGAACAATCACTTGAAGGGTGCGCATATCTGACAAAAGTTGTTGCTCTAGAGGATTTTAAGCATTGAGAAAAATATTCGGTTGAATCATAGCGAATGTTATTGTTAAAAGACGAGCTTAGCAATGTTTGTGGTTAACTTCCGTTTCCTGACTTCCTCTAGTTAAGTTGCTTACTTCCGTTTCCTTTCGATTTATATTTTTGACTTTTCGATTTATTTTTATGAGCCGCGGCTTTGACTTATCATTTGGGAGTTTCGTATTATAAATAAAAGTTTCGACTTGCGTTTAATTTTCATGTATATCCTTAGAGGTTTGAAATTATTTTGCAGTTTTGAAGTATATGCTTTAAACTTTCGTTTTATTTTTTTGAGTTTGAACTTCATCTTGATATTTTCAACATTATATTGAGAGTTATAACATGTTGATTTAATGTTTGACTATTACTTGTTGACTTGAAATAATTTTGACCGGAACGGAACGCCATAGCTCGATAAGAATGTGTGATAGAAAGACGATTGTGATTGGTTTATATATAATGATATGCGTCAGGGTCAGGTAGCGCAGGCGATAGTCTGGCACCAGAGGTCTAGCCTGCATGGCAGGCGGTACGTAGGAAATACCGCCTGCCGCAAAACTGGGTGTAAATGAACTACCGCCCCTGAAGCATCAACGCCATTTATAGATGCATTAATTAAGTAAATATTCAAAATTAGCCACTCCCAAGATGCTCCCAAGTCCCAACTGCCCAACATAAAATAAATTCCTTTATTCTCATCATCGCCCGACTGAATTTTAAAATCCTCGTGAAAACGTTTTATTTTTCGTTATACAATATAAATGTACCGCCCGACAAAATAATTCAAGACAGTTAATTTTTTCATATTTTATATAGAGTTTTTATTGCCATTTTAAACTTCCAATTTGAAACAAACAGAATTTTGAGTGAAATTTCATTGTATTTTAAAGAAACTCAGTCATTCTGTCATTGTTCGTGGAGATACGAACTATTGATATATAAATTATATAAATATCAAAAAATAAAAAATAAATCTCCCACTGTCTTCGACATTTCAAAGTGTAGACTGTGTCTAGTGATGAGAATTAAGGAATTTATTTTATGTGTTAATATAAACCAAGCCCGTTTAGCTGCCTTAAAACGGTGGTTTAATAAGCTCAAAATACAAAGCATGCAAGTCTATACTATAGATTCATCATCAGTCAACAACCAAACTAAAAGTATTGAACCTTATAGAACTATCGTTTTTATTTGTTTACAACTATACATATTCAACGGGTATATAAGAGTTTAACTGTTATTTGATAATTACTGCATCAACCGGCCCCTTGTTTATACTTTGAAGGTTCGTATATATCTATCAAGTATCTTTGGTTCAGAACATGACTGATAGGCCTATATGGAAATCCCACTGTTCGATTCAATGAAGAAATATCTTCAACATTATTGCGATTTATGGCCTTTGAAAGTCAAGCGAGATAGTATATTATCTAATTAATACGCATGTAATTTGTCTGAACGAAAATATAGACTAGCCCATACCTTTCGCCGATCATAACTTCGGCCCCATCGGACGTATCTTCTTTGTTAAATATTCTTGTTCGAATCTCTATCAATAACACTATTTAGAGTGTTATTTTTCAGCTTGTATCTTTTAATTTGCTTCTTTTATTATGTTATTCCATTTCTGGTCTGACTTGACGTGAACTAATTTCAAAACGCAGAGTTTCAAAACGTCAAAACATTTGGTTAATGATTAACATTTAACCGAATTTAGCCGTTGATTGACAACTACATAAAAATACTAACCAATCCGTTTTTCCCGTTCACCAGCGGACGGGTAATTCAAAAACCACTAGTTTTGCGGCAGACGGTATTTCCTTTGCTTCCCTAATTTTCGCTGCCCGTAGAAATACCGCCTGCCATGCAGGCTACCAGAGGTCTGGCACCAGAGGAGGTTGGACAGCAGGCCGCAAAGCATCATGGGTATTGAGCGCCTAATTCCGCGCGTGGCTTCATTGACTGTTGACTGTCGAGGAGTGAACATCTCTCTGACTAAACCAATATGGAAGCTTTCGAACGGGAAGAGTGTCAGGCTGCGATATTTTGTGAAAAGAAACAGCATGCTATTGCTGTATTGTTGCGATCATCATTATGACTTGTGTTTTACTATATCAAGTTTACCTTTTTTAATTTAAATTGCATGGGACGTGCCGTCATTTTAGCTTTATAAATAATCCGTCTGAGAAAAGGAATTGTGTTTAATTTTATATTCCCAATAGCGAGGCTCTTCTTTCTAAGTTGGATGGCGTTAAATCTCCGTGTATCATCAACGTGAAAACAAGCGCAGTATTTAAGGTTGGTATACTACAATGCATTACAGTTATCGTGTTATTTTATAGTCAAATTTCCGCTTTGTTGTTTTATTCTTGTACTGTAATTTTATAAATACACTGTACAAAATTATGGCGTCATACTTGTGTTTATAATGCCTCTAATTTGACCCTATTGTGTGTGTATATGTACTGTGTCACTGTGATACATATGTACATGTTTTGAGTTAAACGAATTGTTTAATAAATTTTTGCTGAAGTATGATACCTGTTTGTATGGATAGATTTTTACATATATGTGCACTGTGTATAGTTTATACATTGGTTCTCAGATGAGTCTGAAGGTATATTGTTATTAAGTTATTTGTATGTATTGTTTTGTACATTTTGCTGAGTATGATGCCTGTTTGTATCTAGTTGTGGATGGTTGTGAGAATATAATTTTAGAGGTTACATGTTTGCTAATTTTAGAGATGATAATGTATCAAATAATAATTTTCTTGTTATGATTTTGTAGAAAGAGATTTACTTGAGTGGTTGGTTGGTCTTGAGCCTGTTCAGGATGGATATGATAATGAAAGAGGTGATCAAGGTGATAGGGCAGAAAGTGATGACGTTTAAGGGAGAAGATGAAAGTGATGAGGAGGAAATCGCCCACGCTGTAGCATTCAAGTGCATCGGTGATGCTCGTGAGAAAAACTACCAACATCATTTGGAAAATTAAATTAAGACATAATACCTCACTCTTCATGAACAAGATAAAACAGTGAACGTAAGAATATGGCCAGCACCATTGAATCCAAGGGACCCAAGTGCAATAGGCAATTCCAGCTTTTAGTTTATTTTATTAAAATTTTTCAGCATAATCAGCAATATGATACCTTACTGCTGGGGAGGGGGGTTAACCCCTCCTAACCCCCCCCCCCCAGTAAATCCGCCCATGATTTAATCCAAAAATTTTCATAATGAAACCTGGTGAGTGGCGACTCAAGTGGTAGGAAAAAGCATGAGTGTATGTTGACAGATGTTTTTATATAATAAATAGCAATTAGCTATGTTTAGCAAGTTATTAGTGCATTTATTTCAATTGGCTAACTTTTTTGTTTTTTCCAGCATTTTTAAACAAACCATATGTTATAAATGATATAACTGGGTATATCTAATTAAACCAATCTGTCATGTACACTCATGCAAATAAAACTAAGTACATAAATAACAACCTTGTACGCCAGGGGAGAAAAGACCCTGGTAGATGCTGGTCACATGATCTGCTAAAATCTAGCAGACTTTTAATTAGCAATCCAAGATGAGGTCAATAAATATTTGATATTTGGATGATTTTTATATGTTAATTTATAATTTGCATTTTGTATATGATTGTCATAAAGGAATTCAAGATAGTTAATTAGAAATCTGCTAGATTTTAGCAGATCACGTGACCAGCATCTACCGGGGTTTTTTCTCCCCAAGAGGAAGGACTCTGGGTACGAGGTCGCATAAATAACTGTAACAATGTACTTTAGTAAATGAATAATTTATCCATATACTTGATCTAGTTTGTGAATATTTTTTCCAATTAAAATTGATGCAACAATAAAACAAGAAGATGTCTATTTATATATTTATTAAATTGATCCAAGATGCCAACAATAACATGCTACTTAGGGAGTGGTCATTATTTATGGGGGGGGTGGTAAATGGGAGGGGGGGTAAACAAAGTTTTACCCTTATAAATAGGGGGGTCAAAAAAGTTTTAACACAGAGAAAGGGGGGGGGGGTAAAAAAGTTTTTGAACTTAAATACCATGTCTAGAGTTTTGGTTTCTATAATCACAAATAGCAAAAAAGAAGACTCTGAAAATGCCATTTCCAATGATCTAGAGACTCAAAATTTTCAAAATTTCCCTGCTCTGTGCCAACCATGGTAGTGCCTTAGTGGGAGTGGTGCCCACTAAGTTTAACAAGCTTCCTACCCCCTGAGTGACCCAGCTGTGGTATTTACATAAACATACCATGCAAGTACACTTGACTGATCAGATTCGGTCTATCAAAGCACAATGTAACGCTGTATATCCAAAAATCTGTTTCAGAAAATGCTCACATTTCAGTCCTGGGGAAAAATACAAAAAAATTTTCCCCAGACCCCCCCTACTAATACATACAATACCACACCAAACTTTTTGTCACCAACAACCATCTGTCATCTCTCCACACTCAGTATAGTATGGTCCCTTTTTGTAGATGCCCACCCCCCAGACAAGTTCTTAAAAAAAGCCCTGTGTTCAAATCATTTCGCTGTATGAAGACGGGCCATGGGTTAGGGTTATGGTAGGACAAATGTTGCATTGCAGTAGTAACACATAATATATATTTTTTAATCATATATGGTTGAATCATATTCACCAGGGTAAAACATCATGAGCTAGATTTAAACAGATTGTCCTAATATCTAACTTTACCTGCAATGCATGCCTGTTTCATTGCTGTTAATTTTTCAATCCACACTGGGGGGGGTCAGAAAAGTTTCTACTTTTAAGAGGGGGGAGGCACAAAAAGTTTGCCTTCAGTCTGGAGAGGAGGGGTCAACGAAGTTTTTAATCCTTATTTTCCCCATTTACCAACCCCCCTCCCCATAAATAATGACCACTCCCTTAATTTGTTTATATTAATTATATATGATACATATGATAATACAATAAAAACTTGTTTTATTGCTTTAAAACAAGTGGAGCTCTCTGATGGTTTGAAATGGGCTGTTATGACACTGATTTGTCCATGCTGAGGATTCCGCAGCTCGATTTGCCACAAAAACCCATAGATATCTATGCAAAAACCCCAGGATCAGGCGATCAGCTCGTCTTGAAATACGTACACGATCCAGTCGCGTCGGCCAAAGACAACAAAACTTTGAAAATCGCACAGATATAAATTCTACAAAAATATTAAAACAACTCCTAAGTCTTCTAAATAATATTTTAGCACTTTAACAAAAATTCATTGAAAATATCATCTTTGATGGCGTAAATTCTTTCCACGGTATTAGACGCCATTTTAGCGAACGTCGAGTTGACAGTAGTCACTTCAACGGTCAATATCTCGAAAACTGCCGGGGGATCACCGGGATCATTCCAGCAGATTTAAAGCTTATATATTTTTCTTGACGACTACCAAAAATGAAGAAAATCGAACCATGGGAATTCTAGATATTTCATTTTAAACATAGTAAACATATTTAGACTTGAGTCAACACGTCGCGGGGAGTCGACTAACTTCAAACATCAAAATAACATTGAAAATAAAGTTTACCTGAGAGATTTTTGCAGATATCGCCAGATCTTTAGTAGTAGTACTACAACACTTGAGATTTTGCAAGAAAATTTTAATATTAATATTTTTTTCCGATTTATTTTCCGTCGAATGCAAATTTTTCTGTCCAAATTCTGCAGATAACACGATGGAAAATAGAGCGATCTCATTGGTCGAGAGCTCACGTGACAACTCGCTAATTAGCTGTCCAACCTCCTCTGTAGGGCCTGACACAAAACCTGTCTAGACCGTGGGACGCCCACATTGTTATTTTTAGACACAACATGCAATATGATTGACAAGTGTTACAGATTTCGTTACAGAAAAAAATTATATTCTCATGAACATGTCCGCAGAGTGTGCATTTTGCTTTATAATTAAACTTAAAAATTCAAGGTACTTTTATATAAATAAGATTCAAACAAAGATTTAATTAGTCAGTTCTGTGCACGGCTAGACTGCCAAGCTTTCTCAAGGTCTCAACTTGCTGGACGCGGATATTAGGGATATACTTTATTAAAACGGGCTAACAACAGCAACAATGAAATTCTCAATCGTACCACGAAGAAGGCGATGTAGCTCAGAAAACAACGCCGGTAGGACCTGATATTAAAAATAAGACTTTTGCCGGCGAAGCCAGTTGGCAAAACATCTTGGCTGTCAACAACAAGCTTTCGAATACATGACTAGTTTGGCTGTTCTTTCGGCGTCGTGTGTCCAAAATTCGTCCAAGATTTTGATAAAGCCCTTTCAAAATACTGTTTGTTTGATTTATTTGCTGCCATAAAGCATAAAAGAAAAAGAAATTCGAAGAAATCGATAATGGAATTTGTACGTGCGTTTGACCTTTATATTAATTGTCGCCTTGACCGAGCTATTTTTAAAACTGTTGTTTATGTAAACTTGCAACCAATCAAAATCCTTCATGATGCTGATCAACCAATCAGATTTCCCGTCCACCAGGTGGACGGGAATCTCACACTTTAGATAGGTTTTGTGTCAGGCCTAGCCTGCATGGCAGGCGGTATTTCTACGGGCAGCGAAAATTAGGGAAGCAAAGGAAATACCGTCTGCCGCAAAACTAGGGGTTTTTGAATTACCCGTCCGCTGGTGAACGGGAAAAACGGATTGGTTAGTATTTTTATGTAGTTGTCAATCAACGGCTAAATTCGGTTAAATGTTAATCATTAACCAAATGTTTTGACGTTTTGAAACTCTGCGTTTTGAAATTAGTTCACGTCAAGTCAGACCAGAAATGGAATAACACAATAAAAGAAGCAAATTAAAAGATACAAGCTGAAAAATAACACTCTAAATAGTGTTATTGATAGAGATTCGAACAAGAATATTTAACAAAGAAGATACGTCCGAAGGGGCCGAAGTTATATGATCGGCGAAAGGTATGGGCTAGTCTATATTTTCGTTCAGACAATTACATGCGTATTAATTTGATAATATACGATCTCGCTTGACTTTCAAAGGCCATGAATCGCAATAATGTTGACATTTTACTAAAACTATCGATAGAAATTAGGATATATTTCTTCACTGAATCGAACAGTGGGATTTCCATATAGGCCTATCATGTTCTGAACCAAAGATACTTGATAGATATTATATACGAACCTCCAAAGTATAAACAAGGGGCCGGTTGATGCAGTAATTATCAAATAACAGTTAAACTCTTATATACCCGTTGAATATGTATAGTTGTAAACAAATAAAAACTATCGTTCTATAAGGTTCAATACTTTCAGTTTGGTTGTTGACTGATGATGAATCTATGGTATAGACTTGCAATTGAGCTTATTAAATCACCGTTTTAAGGCAGCTAAACGGGCTTGGTTTATATTATCACATAAAATAAATTCCTTGATTCTCATCACTAGACACAGTCTACACTTTGAAATGTCGAAGACAGTGGGAGATTTATTTTTTATATTTTATATTTATATAATTTATATATCAATAGTTCGTATCTCCACGAACAATGACAGAATGACTGAGTTTCTTTAAAATACAATGAAATTTCACTCAAAATTCTGTTTGTTTCAAATTGAAGTTTAAAATGGCAATAAAAACTCTATATAAAATATGAAAAAATTAACTGTCTTGAATTATTTTGTCGGGCGGTACATTTATATTGTATAACGAAATATAAAACGTCAGTTTCATGAGGATTTTAAAATTCAGTCGGGCGGTGATGAGAATCAAGGAATTTATTTTATGTTGGGCAGTTGGGACTTGGGAGCAGCTTGGGAGTGGCTAATTTTGAATATTTACTTAATTAATGCATCTATAAATAGCA